GCTGATTCAGATTAATTGTCCCTACATTTGTGCTGTGAATGAGAACGTATTTACTAAACAAAGAACAATGTAATGCAAACAATAATTTAAAGAATGGACAGTTAATCAAATTGTTTCTGATGAGTAAACCATGAAACAAAAACAATCTTTGTGGTGTCTCTTCTATTTAGTTGCTCAACTCATCCACCAAAAGCACAGCTCATCCCAAACTGGAGGAAAGACATGACAGGAGGACGACATCTAGTGGACTTCAAGCGCAAACTCAAGAGGATGAACCCTAAACGCTCCAAGAGGAAAGACTCTCCAGTCAGATTATATAAGAAATGCATCAGGATGCACACTAAACTGCAGAGACCTGGAGTTGCTGAACGGAATCACTCATAAAGTCCGTTTCAACTCAACAAAGCAGCAAAAAACTTGCAATGGGAAAACAATAGCAATACAAATGCTCTTATGAAACAGTTTATGTAGCCTACATTAAGAGTCAATGGGGGAAACGTTTTTCTTCTTTAACTCACAAGCAGTGTTGGGGAAAGTTACTTTTAAAAGTAATGCATTACAATATTGCGTTACTCCATAAAAAAAGTAACTAATTACGTTACTTAGTTACTTTTTTATGGAAAGTAATGCGTTAGGTTACTTGTGCGTTACTTTTTAAAAAAAAAGTAACTTGCATTACTTATTTGAAAAAGTAACTCAGATATTCTCGTCAATTAAAAAGTAATGCGTTACTTTACTAGTTACTTGAAAAAAAGTAATCTGATTACATAACTCGCGTTACTTGTAATATATTACCCCCGACACTGCTCACAAGTCATATAACCTGACACAAATCTACCTTTTGGTATAAGAAATCTGTGGTGAAACATTATTGTGAACATATTTTTATTACGAAAAGGTTAAATTTAGCCTAATGTAATAGGTCAGAGTGTTAGTTACCTCATTATGGGGTAATATGGTACAAATAGTTTTAGCTGCAAGAAATAATCTGCATTTAAAGCCAACTTCTAAGTGCCATATATATTGTAATTATTTGAAATTGATATCCAGCCACATGTTTCAATGAAATAATGCATCGTAAACATTCAAAAGTCATCTACTTTCATAACTATTTTTACAATTGCCCCCAACCTCACAGCCATGATAAGACTCGTGAGCTAGCGATAGACCCTTTCATTCATGTTAAACTTTACC